CCGAGGTGATAATGTATGTGCGGACAAAAATATATGCGAAACTATGATTAGGGTGCGAGATCAAACGTCGGGACAATCCTCCATCTTGTCCGTATTGTACAGCTGAAACTACTTCTGTAGCACGAGTTCACTGTTTATCGTTCGACTTTACTACGTGAATGAGAGAGAAGAACACGAATAAGCAGCTCGCAGCTAAGAAATTTATGGGCTTTAAAACGATAGGCTGATAGTTGAATACTTCTTTACAAAATGAATGATGAAAGGTAAACTATGGACATGAGAAGTATGAGGAAATAACTGAAAATTGCAAAAGTACTGTCCGAGCCAGAGAGCATTCACATAGATAAGAGATAAAGTATGAAACAAATCTACGCTAAATGGAAAACAACAAAACAAACGTGACGTCTTTATAAGCGTTTGATTATTGAACGTTGTTGACTTTGTCACAAAGCGAGCGGATTCTTCGGTTCGATCGCTTGTCGTTTCCTTCTGGCATATCCTATTCATAAATAAGATTGTGATTGCTTTAATTGAATGTAGGTCGACATTTTATGCAACAGACATGTGTTTGATATCAATTATCAAACAGGTAGCCGCATAACAAGGCTGAAGGGACCACTCGGTAGAAAAGTCTTCATGGGGAGAACGTGTCGAAAAACTTCAAAGATAGGGAGAATAAGAGAATTCTTACATTTCTGTGGAAAGTCCGAGAAGTAAACAGCGAAAATCGTGCTACGTGTCTCTTTTTGATGGTATACTCAAAAGGTTAGCGAAATAACACATGGACTGTTTTGAAAATAATTACTTACAATCTACCTAGCCGTCGTATGCCCCAAGCCGTTGTTAAATACAACAAGCAATAGGGTACTTTTCGGTCACAAAGGGGCAAACAAATATCCAACCTCATTCGCTCGACAGAAAATTTTTATAGGTGTGTTAGTGATTATTCAAAAACTTAAATCTCTGGCTACAACATAAAGTGGCTGGTTATCTCAAAGGCCTTTTTTTGACGTTGCTGCAGAAGGAAATCTCTTGTGTCTCACATATGATTTTTCGCATAAAACAGAGCTCTTTTTTATAGTAATCAATCTACAGCGTAATACTTGCTAATTCTAACTCAAAACTTGTTCTCTGAAACGAGATTGATTTACATACACGAATAGGTGCTTTTCGCTATTCCACTGCGTGGTGCAGCGCTAGGCGAGGGCGTATAGGGCCGTTCTCACAATGCCATAGATCGATTCGTGCTTTGGCTGGTGGCATATCTCTCTGATGCACTGCAAAAGAGCGATCTTTTCAAAAAATAAGCGCAGAGTTGGAATCGGCAAACATTGTGCTATCGAATGATTATTTATAGGCTATAAAAAGAGCTTTTTGCAGTGACGTGTAAAACACAAATCTTTCCCTTCTCTTATAGCACTATCAAAAAAGTTTTCCCAACGAGCAAGCATATCTTTGATTCTTCGAAACGTGTGCTATCGAATGAGTTTTAGCACTATAAGGAGGGAGTTTTGTCCAGCGAAGTAAAAGCGAGATAAGAAAAAAAAGGGGGTCATGTGAAACACAGCCCTGTTCTGAATGATGGTGTCATAAAAGAGTGTTGTGAAAAATCAGCCACGTAGGACTCTAGCTAGGAAATCAATGAGGCTATGTGCAGATCTTTCTGAATTCTTTTTTGGTACCAAATTTCTCTATAATTACTTCATGAAGGGTCTTTCAAAGAAGACTTCGTTGCAATTAGCTTCTTTATGGGTACGAATGAGACGCGATGCACAACGGGCGATTCACTACGATTTGCTGCCATTAATAGAGTTGATCAACGCCAGGTGCTACTGTGAGCGCCTCAACAGCTGCAATCGAGTCGTGTTACGTCATCGTCGCCGCAAACTCATCTTGTTTCAAGGCAACGCAAGGCTGCATGTCGCCGATTTGGCAAATACGAAGTTCACCGGACTGAGCTGGGAGTTGCTGGATCATCTGCCGTGCAGTCGTAACTTGTTACCGTCTAACTATCACCTCTTCTGGTTGCTTGAGCGATTCCTGTGCAGGAAGCAGTTCTAAAACATCAGACATTTTCTCCTAGGATGGACAACTTTCTTTCAATCCAAAGATTATGAGTTCGATGAGCGCAGATGGTATCTCGTTTGGAAGATCAGAATTGTGTTCAGGCTAATAGGACATACTTTGAAAACTGCTCTTAAGCAATATTAAGACATCTAATGTTTATTGCTCCACTGCCAAAGCCTTGGAGAAGGCCTATTGCTTACGAGGCTTCAACAGCCTTCAATTCCTAATGAAGTTTCTTTATCGACTTTCGAAATTTCCAAACTGTGCGCTAAGGTTTTTGGCAGTCTGCCAAATTTTGCACTGCAATAAATGAATCATTATAGTAATCATTTGATGTTATAATCAAGGGTGATAATCGAATCTTCGTGAAAAATGAAAAAAGTATTAATATACTCTCGAAGAGCAAGACATCTAGTACACGTTTTATAATTGAATTATTTTGATAAAAAACTAAAATTGTCATCAAACTGATTTTGTTAACGACACAAAAGTTCCAGGCTCTAGAAATGCCGTCGCGCGCCGCCGAATTATTATAGAACGTCGCCCACAAATCGTCTGTTGTTGAAACTGAAGTGGAGATTAGTAGGGTACATTCAGCAGTTATAGTTTGCGTAAAAAGTACGTGCCGTTACAGAGAAATTGCATGATTTTTGTAACCGTTGAACTGCGCATTTACTTGTGAGCATTTTGGTACACAACTTGGCTAAACTAGCTTTATGATGGAGCTGTCTTGGCAACAAGTTCGCCTTCTAGTCGTGAATGAAAGGCGCGTGGGGGAAAGTGCTATTGAATCGGTGCGCAAAATCAGATCTTCCTGTGGGAGGCACGAGGACGGCTGGTCCTTCAGACTGTTCTTTCCAGATTGAACTTCGCGAACCACCTCCTAACCGTTCTTTCTGCGAACGCATCATCGCCCCAAGCGCCATTATTCTTCCACGCCGCTTCACTAGCATTTCCCCTACGCGCCATTCGTTCGTGAGTAGCATGTGAATTTATTAGCTAGACGGCTCCATCTTGAAGTAAGCTTTGGCAGGTTGTTTAGCAGATTAATCACGAAAAACTGCGCAATTTATCGACACCGAGAACATGCAATTTTATTGCAAAAAGCGTGTTCAATAAATCAAAAATACAGGAAGGTTGTACACAACCTATTACTTCGTTCTCAAGTTCCTGTTCTAAGCCTTCTTTTTTTGAGTGGTTCTCTTTGTTGGCAAAAGTTCTGAATAGTTGAAATCCACTTCTACATGTGCCATGGATCTTACTGCGTTACCATAGGATGAATACCACGAATTTACTAATTTATATCCCTATTGATAATTAGTAATGATAATAATAATGATAAAAATTAATTATGATGACGATGATAATATGATGATGATATGATAGCAGTAATATTAATAATGATACTAATAACATTGGTATTAATAGTGGTAGTAACAATTAACGAAAATAATTAATATAATTGTAATCATTAAATTATATAAATTTACTCACGGATGAAGACATATGTGGCTGTCTCATGTGATCTTGACGAAGACGACCAACTCGAGATCTGCCTGTAATGTAGTCAAAACTATCACATTGCTTTATTCGTCTTTCTAAACTCCATCCTATCTTTTTTCTCAGAGCTGTTGCTCTAAGAAAAAACCTAAAGAGTGTGTTGATCAAGACGTACAGAAACTGTGAGGAGTTAGCTCAGATTCGGCTGAAACGGAAGAAAGCGAAGCTAACTATACCCCTATAGCGCCTTTCCCTGAAAACTTGGTGACTTCTGTACAACAGACTCTCAGCAATGTGGTTTGCTAATTCAGCAAGTGCTTGCAACAAGCAAAATACGTCGAGCCACCGTTACTCATTCTATCAACGATTCGCCATTATCCAATGGTCATTCGACGTCGATTTCACCTTTAGTCAGACTTCTCAAAGTTTGCATCACCAAACCAATTGTTGGGATTTGTCATTTTAGCCTTGAAGAGACCTGAAACGTCCTCTACTTACTACGTCCAGTAAATCGTCAAAATTGTATTACGGTCGTAGTCGGAGACCTGGTTCGAAAAGTAAGCCGAAGCCGGAGTTCTCGGCCAATGGTAAACCATGGAAGGCAATTGAGAATTCAGTTCTGGCGATGAAGCATCTAATGAGCTCATGTCGTATGATAAGAGAGGGCATATTAACAGCTTCCGGGTGACAAGTTAAGCATGGTTGTCAGTATAATCGAGAGCAGAGAGAATTTATCAGTAAGTGATTTGAAAAAAAAAATTCGACTTCTCTTCTGTTGCTTGAATTTTTTTCTTTAGGATATTAGCCGCGAAGAAACTAAAATCGACTTCAAAACCTTGAAGGCCGTTGCACTCCGTGATCTTGAGGCCTTCGTAGCTGCTGCTTTTAAGAGGAAGACTCGAAAAAAAATTTATGCATATGGTGTGCTTTGGTGCTTCATACTCATAGCTGACCATCGTAAAAGCAGTAAAAACTGATAACGAAGCGCGCAAACGTGAAATCGAGAACAAGTAAGGTTCTCGTTTTTCTCACTATATCCACCTTGTTGTGTACCAAGCGGAGGAAGGGCCCATCTTCTCTGCATTTTTATCACTCGACGTATGAACGCATTGAATGTATTATTGATGTACTATTGTTGTCCCGGAAAGAATGACGTGCGGGTTTTAGTCACTCCCGGAATTAATGAGATGCGGGTTCTAGTCCCGCGTGACGCGAAAGTTTGCACATTGCTCTACATCAGTGGGTATATATTTGAAACATCATACCACCGCCAAAAGCGGCTAAATAAAACGAATATCATTTGATCTTCAACACTCAATACCTGTCAGCGTGACTGGGTTCGATGTCAGGATCGACTACCCGGGCCAGGCCATTCGCGACTGGCGGATGGCAGATAGTTGCGCTGAAGCGTATAAAAGCGATGTGCAAAATGGGCGTCAGTAGTATAATGGACAGAGCACGCATTCCCGGAAAGAATAAGGTGTGGGTTCTAGTCCCGCCTGACGCGAAAGTTGTGCACATTGCTAAGATCAGTGGGTATATATTTGAAGCATCACACCACCGCTAAAAGCGGTTAAATAAAACGAATAATATTTTAATTGCATTATTGTCGTTGTCATCCTATATTATGTTATATGTAAATAAATTGTGTTGTCATAAGTTAGAATTTAGAAAGGGTAACACATTTGAGATAATACTATGACCCATTTGACGTGTTCTCGCGCTGGTGATTAGGAACAAGAAGAGGTGGGGCAGACCGTCCAACGTTACCACGCTGGGGGCAGAGACGAAACGGAGGCGGATACACGGTCCCGAAAGGTTTAACGAATAAGCAATCCCATACGGGTCTACCAAGTATACGTCGCGTTTTGTTTGATGTCTTTAATCAGAGAATGCTTGAAACAAATCAAAGTCGCAAAATCTTTTGCAAGGTGACAGTTCACTTCAATGAGGATGATCGTCAATCTCGAATTCGTATGCTCTCTACAGATACTTCAAAGCTAATTTGTAAGCTGCAAAACTACTACGACCAGTAATGTTGAACATGGTCATGACGTTGATCTCATGGATCTAAGTCTATCAGATGCAGACAGATGATCGTCTTTCGGAGATGTTTCCCCCTAGTGGCAACGTTGTCAGAAGCAATCAGTACTAAGCTGGCATTATCAGTCATCGTTTCTTTCTCAATTTATAGACCAAATTTTTCGGCGAGGCGATCTTACATAGATAATACTATCAGATCTTGCATTTGTTTTGACAAGAAATGCCCCTTTCCTTCCCCACTGAGCCGCTTTACCTTTGATGTTTTCTGGAAATTGATTTTCCCGTTAATCTCGACATTACCGAGGAATAATAGCTTCTTTTATATTTTATCTAATGTCACGAGGTAGATGAATAAAGTCTATCCACCTAGAGCTTCGACGTTTTCGTCCTCCTCAAAGCACTTGCTCAACGACTCTAAGGAAGACGAAAACGTTGAAACACTAGCCGAATAGATTATATTTATTAAAATCGTGATATCAACTAAATCATAAAAGAAACTCATTGCGGCACCAGCCTATTTTTAGTTGACGAGGCTATACGTTAAGCAGGAAATCTAAAATTCAGTGTGAGCGTATCACATGTTCGCGGTTATATGAAACTTAAGCAAACAATATCTCTGCCCAACCACAAGCTGGTCTTGTTTTTAATCTTTTGCAGAAATTTGAAACCGTTTTCTTGTTTCTGTAAATGTTTAAGTCTCTGTTCTCATGCCATGAACAGCAATTATGTAGTAGTGAATGGAAGAGTACAAGTAAACGCAGACATCTGGTAAATTGTTGTGAGAGAGAAAAGGTTGTTATCGAGTTTGAATGAAGTTGTCGCATTGTGTAGTCCTCCGTTTTTTGCTTGCAAACATCAGTGGCAGCAGGCAATTCTTGCCTCTGTTATCCAGCAATAAAATTTTCTCTATCAATTAATGCGTTTAGGGTATTGATCGTCTTGGGTATAGTGTCGTTTTTAATGTTTTCGCTTGCCGTCTACGGCTGCCGCCGTCTGTTACAACTTGAGATGCACATGTCATGCTTGTTGATTTTCAACGCCGTCTCTGGGATTTTGCTCTAATGAGCTTGTTGCTTTTTTTGTTAAACTGATCCAAATGATCTACGATCACGCTCTGCGCAGTAGATGTTATTCTTATTATACATATGCCCACCGAGTTAGGGCCCAAGTGGCGCAGTAAAAGGTGCCCTGCGACGCGAACGTGGTCGAAGGATCAATCCCGCGCCCAAAGCTCACCAAATACTTCATCTCTTGGTGGTCAGCTACTTTTTACCAAATATGTGTAAGAAAATGGTAGCAGTAATTTGATGATTCAGTGTGAGCACCAGATAAGCATTTAGTGACGTCAGACGGTGCTTGAGGAGACGAATGCATGGTGCATTCCGCAGAGATTTACAAAGCCAAAGCTTTTCTCCGAAACTTGCCCATAATAAGGCGACAAATTAATATTGCATTCCAATCGCTACACAAGAATATTCATTAGACTAGTAGAACTCATTCGAAAAACTCATTCGAAAACCCAAATCTCCGGCTGACGCGGTACGTAGTCGGTTTTAGAAAATACCTTTTTTGACGTTGTTACAAAAGGATAATCTACGGGTTCACAGCATTTTTCTCGCATGGCAGCTTTCCCTTCAGACCATTAGCAACCGTTCGACGGCGTAGGATTCAAAGATTCCAACGCTGTGCTCAGTTTCTAGAAAAAGCGTTTCTCTGCAGTATAACAGGGAAAATAACATCGAGTTTCACGTAGTCGGCTTGCTTGTTTAGGCACTAATTTCCGAGCGAAGTGTCTGGTGGCCGCAAATTGCATCCGGCTCCTCGGTGAAGTGCGAATTTTGGCATTCGGTTAGGAATTTGTTCTCCGCTCCGAAAGAAACTCCGGATCAAGCGTATGACTCCGATGCTGAAGGACTTTTTTCAAACATTCATATGCGCAAAAATTTAAGCTTTCGAATGACTACAAACACTGCCGAGCCAAATTCTTGTCCAGCGATTGGGGCCAAATATTTATTTGCCGTCTCATAATGGGTAAGAATCTTTTGTCCTTTTATTCTATATTCTTACTGATAAACTTGACCTGTTGAAACTCGTATTTTTGGAGGAAATGCAAATGAGAATGTTCATACTTGAGTTGCCATTGAATGACTTAAGCCTTCCAAGTCCATAGGAATTGATCCCGCTACGTACTAGACTTTCGTTTTCTTCACAACACCCGGTGAAATTGAACGAATACCTCAGAAATGTTTAGTACGAGCTCGGAGCTCTACCTTTTCGTGAGCATCTGGTTTTCCTTTGTAAAACCCAGGATTTCAGAGAGAGCCTCGTGTTGTTAACTGAGTATAAGTAGACATGTAAAATGTTGCTACCTATAAATCAATAGAAAAAGCCTTTTCACAACCCTACAGAAGTCCGAACACTGATGATGTGGCATCACATGCAATGTGCCTTGTGGAGTCTCCTCTATTTTATTTCATCATTCATTGACAAAATTCACTCTAGTGAAGATAAAAATTCAACTTTATAGCGAAACTACAACATTGTGAAAATAACGTGCTCCATTTGCGAGGTGAATCGCGCCAACTGCGGCGCGAGCGGCCTGCGAGGCACTCCTTCCTCTCTACGGCCGACGTAAATGTGTTAACATCTTGCTCTTTATTGATTTATTGATTGATTACTGATGTTATTGATGTTGCTATTACTACTACTTTATTGTTATTAGGGGTGCCGTGGTCGAGTGGTTGTCATGCTCATCTCGGCGCCCGTGGAGCCGAATTCCATCTCCCGACTCTTTTTTGCGGTCAACAATGCATAGATTATCTCATCAGAACTATGACTGTGTTCCATCATTAACACCTCGTTCCTTCTTCCCTGGGTAGTTCCAACTTTTCCTTTAAACTCGACTTTCACAAGATAAAAGATAAAGCCATCGGCTTTGATCAATTTTTGAAATTGTTCTTTGTTCCTTTTTCCATGTTCCTGCGAATGATTGAATCTCTTTCTTTATAGCATGAACAGCAATGATGAGGTAAGATGACCCGCAGGCAGCTAATAAATTGTTGAGGGAAAAGACAGGTTACTATCTAGTGCGAATCAATTCAAAATCAACTCACACTCTTTTTCAATGGTAAGAATGGTTTTTTCCGCTTCTTTGACCTTCTATTATTTTTGTGACATATGTAGCTTCTGAGCAAGGCACATGAGGCGCAGTGCCTGAGTCGCATGCAAGTTTGATGGTTCGATCTCACGATCATGGTTCAGCAAGCCTTCGATTCCTACGGAGTCGGTAAATTGATATCAGACTTGTCTGCTTGAACACGCAACATTGACTCCATGCAACGGTAGGCAATCGCGAATCATTCTAATGGCCGGATGTGCATTCAGTCTCCTCAAACCAAACTAAAAATTGAATTCAAATGTATGGTGCGTTCCGCAGAGATTGAACAGTGCCAAAACTTTTATCTTTTTTTTTAGCTCTGTGTAGCTTGAATTGCGGTGCAAGATGGTTATAGGTGTCAATGGCCACTGCAAATTGAATTATGTCATCTTGTGTCTTCCTTAGTTTTTTGCTCTTTTTTACTCAATGGGAATCAGTCACTTCCTCTTTCTATTATTTAACAATAAAAGTATTTTTCCAGTAGATTAATGCGTTTTATGCATTGATCGACTTGGCTATGGAGTTGCAATCGATGTTTTCGCTTGCCCTCTACGGCTCTGCCTGGTACAATTTTGGCTGCACATCTCGTGCCTATTGATTTTGTTCGCCGTATCTGGAAGTTTATCTGATGAGCATATGGGTTTTTTGGTTATTTTGGTAAAACGGTCGAAGATCGCGCTTTGTGCAGTAAATTTATTGTAGTACGGCATATTTCTACCTATAAGGAAGCTGTGGGATTGTAAAAGGTTCTCTTCGGCGCAAACGGGAGCAATGGTTCAATGCCGCTCTCAAGGCTCACCAATCCTTCTATCTGTGGGTGGTCAGCGGGTTGGTACCAAACATGTGTGAGAGAGTAATAGCAATAATTGGATGCAATTGTGGGCTACCACGACTCAGTATGAGAGCTAGATACGCATTCAGTGACATCAGACGCTGCTTGATAGGACGAATGCATGGCGCATACCTCATAGGTTAACAGTGCCGAAATCTTTGTTCGATACTTCTCCATTATAAGGCGACAAATGAATATTCGACCCCATTCGCTGGACAAGAAATTTTCATTAGAGTGTTAGTAATACTTCGAAAACTCACATCTGTGGCTAACGCGGTACGTGGCCGGTTCTTGCTTTTTTTGTTGTTACCGAAGGAAAATCTATGTGTTTCACACGCATTTTTCTCGTAAGACAGCTCACGCTGCAAACTATTAGTAATCAGTCGATAGCGTAGGTTTCAAGGATTTCAACGCTGCACTTATTACAAAGAGCGTTTCTTTGCAATGTAACAGGGAAAATGACATCGAGTTACAT